AGGCCAGGGGGCGGCGGCCACTCGGCGACGGGAGCTCCGGGGACCCCCCGCCCGAGGGCGCTGGGCTGCGTTTTTTTTAACGTTTCTGGTTATTTAATAGAGCGACAGCAACTGGGCTTACTCTCAGGTTTTTCCCTGTTTAGAAAAGACTTGTGGGACCCCAGAATTTGGCTGAGTGCTGGTTGTTACAGTTTAGAAGCTTAGAGAAGCAGTTACCAAGGAATTGCTTTTTAAGCTGGTTTTCCTTTGAGCTAACGTGCCAAGAGTTAGTAGTGATGTCTGACACTCAAAGGGCTGAAAGGAGTTAGGAGAAGGACTGAAACAAGAGCTGGAGACATCCCCAAAGAAAAACAGTCCATTTCACAAACTGGATCTGAAATGTCTCTTAAGAGATCTGTAGGAATTTGACAAAAAGAAAACAAATAAAAAATGTCTAACAATCCTGAATTCAAGTGTTGCATTTTGGACTAACAAGATAAAAAGACTAGACATCAAATGGTCTGGACTAGAAATAACTACTGAAAACAGTTGCAGGGAAAGCAATGGCAGGAAACACAGAAACGTTTGGCCTGGTTGTAATTTCCTATCCAAACAGTTGGAACTAGGTCTAAGGGAGCTAAAAATAAGCCCCAGAAGGAAAACAAGTTCCCATGCCATGGTGGAAATCAGCAACCGGGATGGGGAATAGAGCCAGAATTTTTTTTAGTAATACACAATTTTACATGCTGCTTTTATTCTGTTTGCAGCCAGGAGGGGAGAGGACTACCCTGCTAAAGCAATACAAACATCTACTGTCTTGAGGATTAAAAAAAAAAAACAAAAAAAAACCCCAAACCTGACTGTCCAAATGGAGTGCTAGAAAAGCTAAGAGAAAAGGGTATTTCCAGATATATGGTAGCACAGTATAGTGGCAGTAGTGGCAACACATATCTTAATCAGCTATCTAGGGCCCAATGTGTGCTAGAATGGAAGAGGAAAGAAGAAATTCTGGCTGGTTTACTAGAGGACTTGCAAAGTTTTGTGTCTTATCGTGTGTACACACCAGCTAGTAATCCAGTCAGCTACCAGAGGACCAGTCTGTAGGTTGACCAATTTATCAAGATATGTAAAAGGAAGCATTAGGTGCCTACAAAGCTGCTTTTTTTTTTTTTTTTTTTTTTTTTTTTTTTTTTTTTTTCTTTTTTTTTTCTGGATAATGACTTATACCCTTCATCAGAGTAAAACAGGCATTAAGAAGGTGATTGTCATCATCCTCATCAGCTCAGCTCTGCATTTAATGGGGAAATGGGGATTAACAGCTGGTATGTGGTATTTTTGAACAATTAGAAAGCACATAGTCCATTAGCAGGGACAGTTGGCAACAATGTAAAATTCAAAGCTAGCAATTCTGTTGAAAGCTGATACTGAAAAAAATTTGGACACGTTAACAGTCATTATAAAAAAAATGCTGGCCAGCACAGACCTTGACAGATGGTGAAATCTCCTTTCCCGCTTTGGGAGAGGGATAATTGAAGATTGGAAGTCACACACATGAAGAGGAAAAGCTTGGAAAAGCAGGCATCAGCTTCCTAGGACTTGATCTGGGCACTTAAACCAATAATCTGAATCTGGCTATTGAATCACATCTGTGACACACACCAAAAAGTAGCCCAGGCATGGTGGCTATTAGACCAGACATCTTCAGAAAAACCTAAGAAGCAAAGATGTAATTTTACACCTAATTTGTGAATGGAAACAGTGAGTGGAAACATGTATCACTCGGAATCTGAAAAGCAGTCACTAGCTTTCTGATTATCAACCTGATTGCCAGCTTTTCTTGTAGTAACTGCATAGCAACTGAATATTTCTGACAAAAAGACTGAAAGATAGAAGCCAAAGATATAAAATATGAGTAGTAGGATATAGGTATAGATGAAAACTTTGAGGAGAAGCAAGGACAAAAGAGCTTTTACTATATTTGATCCAAAATGGTGCACTACCTCTTAATGAGTTTGAAATATCTTCTCTTTAGGAGTTTCTCCCAGTTCAAAGATGTAGTTTGTCTTGGACTGGTCATAACAAGTTTGATTGTGAGGGGTGAAGCCCTCCGGAGGGGACAGGACATCAATACATTGGCCAGGTCTATCAGTACTCTTAGTACTATCAGTGTTATTAATGATGGAAGAAGACTCATGAGAGAAATTTATCTGGAAGATACATGAGAGGTTTTAGTCAGTTCTTGGGTCTCACATGTAGAATGGGTTAAGAAAGAAGTGGTAGCACTGTGGTAGCACTGAAGTGTTTGTGAACTGGCAAACCAAATTATGTCACTTGAAATAATTTTTATCTAGTATTGCAAAGAAATTATATACTGGATTCTCTATCAAATTTAATCAAATCAAATTTTTTAAAAGTGCAATATTAGGAGGTGGGTCACAAGAACACTGAAAAACTATTTTCCCTGCAGGACAAGGTCAGCAGCAAGTTAAAGTGTCAGTCGCGGTGTGCAAGCTACTAGCTATGTTTGAAGACTATTGGATCATGTTCCTCCCTCAGTTTGTATATTATCTAGGTAAGATATTCTGGTATGTGATATAAATGGTGTAAAGTGAACTTAAAACTACTAATGCAAATAAACTCAAAGAGATATGACATTTCTAAAGGGCTCTGCTTACTCTTGCGGGTGAGATAAGGGGAGAGAGATTGGGGGCAAAATTGTCTCTCCTCTAGAGGCTGACAGACATGCAGAGTTTCTGCAGGGTTTTTCTGTTCTGGAAGTTCTTTTGTGGGTTTTTCAATATTGCAAAACTATTTCATAAGTTGGGGAAGTAAAAGAAAACATATCAGTGGTTGAGAGAGTGTTTGAGCACTTTCAGTTAAAAAAAGTTGTAACTGCCACTGTATCAGTGCATTCACATTTCAAAACCTCTTTCATATCAGGTATGAGTGCTAGTGATTACATTCGAACTCAAACATTGTGAGCTGGAGGTGACTTTGCACAGTAAAAGTCTAAATTGTCTTGGGACAGAAATTACTAATGGTTACATCAGTTGAAAATAACTTTCACATGTATGGAAGTTTGTTGATGTGGTAGGCCATATATCCCTCCTGTTCTTTGAGCATGGCTGACATAGTCCTAGTGTGTTAAGAAAACAAATCTTAGGTAATGATTGTTGGGTTGGATTTGTTTTTTTCTCACTTGCACTCTCCCTGCTACTTTTGAAGCCATTGTCTAATGCAGATCTAATTTTACATGAGAGCACAAGTGTAAAAGATACCAAGTTTCAGTGTGTTTTGTGAAACAGTATCTGAAACAAAGAACCCCTGTTAATGTCCCACAGCGGGAAATATGTGACTTAGCTTTTACCCTTCCAAGGGACAGCAGTCAGCTTGCCAACCTGTGTACACGTAGTTAAGACTAACTGCAATCAGGCCTCTTGCCCATCTCAAATAGGTAGGGAAGGACTAAGCAAAGGAAGGTTTATGGTTGTAGAAGGAGATGACTCATGGCATTCAGTGGCTAGAGTACAAATTCAGAGGAAATCTGGCTTCATTAATTCTGTAGCTCATGGAAAAATTTATTCAAGCTTGGGATCTTTGGTGCTTGGAAAGACTGCAGTGTTCTGACTTTGTATTAATGCCGATACACTGCTTAACAAAAAAAAAAAAAAAAAAAAAAAAAAAAAAAGCAATAAAGCTTTGGTAGCTCAGGAGAGAATTGCTTACTCATGAAGAGTTCTCCCTTAATTACAGAAGTGTACAGATTCCAAATTTCATCTGTAAGATACAGGGTTGTACAAATTAAATCCTTTACAACTTTACAGAATGGGTTGTTAGGTGTTGGAATGGGCTGCCCAGGGACATGATGGAGTCCCCCGGAGGTGTTTAAGAGTCAGGTTGACATAGCGCTTAAGGATATGGTGTAGTTAAGAACTGTGAATGGTTAATGGTTGGACTAGGTGATCTTCAAGGTCTTTTCCAACCTAGATGATTCTGTGATTCTGTGAAATGGGAATTTGTGCTTTCTTGCACAGGAACAGGATTTTGTTGAAGGAACAGCTAGCTGTTCTGTCATTCTTGTACTAGAAAGACCTTACAGGATTCTGATATTTGACTGCTTAGGTCAAAGTGGCCAACATTTCCAGTATCAATGTGTTACACTAGAGTACTAAACTGTACAGAACCCTGCTTTTGACTATTCAAACCTTAAATATCTAGGTTTGGAGGTGTCTTTTCTCAAATAGCTGCCAATTAAGTTAACTAAAAAATTGTTACTCAGGATGGTTCCCAAACTGGAATACTGTGGAACAGGGAGGATTACAACCCACCATGTTAATTCCCAGCGTGCAATTTAGAGAGGCTTTTTTCTCAAAAGCAAGACAAACCCCATAGGAAGGGAACTGTGGAGGGTAGTATAGAAAAGTAGAAATAGGGGTACTTAGAGGAAAGCCTCAAATGGATCAGCTGTTGAGCTACATACAAAGAGGTGAGAAGCAGTGGAACACTTTTTTTAAAAAAATCTTTAGAATTTGTTTTCTCTGAAGGACTATGCAGGCAAATAGCTCTTCAGTGGAATACAAGCATGCACCTCTGAGGGATAAGGTTTAAGACTCATGCTAACTACCTGAAAGAAGGGAAATAGTGAAATTCTGAGTAATTTTAATTCACTTTTAATCATGTACCTTAATTTGGTATAAATATTAGTAAAGCGGGAGTTCCAGAAACCTGGGTTTCTGAGGATGGATGAAAGAATCTAAAACATAATCTATCCCTTTGAAATTTGAACCGTTGAACCAGGCTAGAACTGAAGGGTTTGTGCTCTCTTTGATATATCATAAAAATACTCGTTATGGTTTTGAAGCATTTGGCAACAGCTGAATTCTTTGGAAATCATAAATCCTAGATGAATTGTGAGAAGTTAATTGATGGTATGAATGTGACCCAGTTGCCCCCAGTACTTTGAGTGCCCTATGGGGCCCTGTAGAGAGAATTAAGGGGAAAAAAGTTCTGCAGCACTTAATTGTCTACACTACTCCTTTAAAAGTTCAGTTAAATTTACTTATGGGGGTCCCCTCACAGTTGGATAAAAATATTTTTTAAATTCTTTCTTTAAAGTAGAAAGGCAATGAATTGGCTACAGTAATAGCTGCCTGGAATGCAGCAGAACCTAACCCCTCCCTGACTAATCCTGCTATTTTCTAACCTTGTATGCCATGCATAATCAAAGGCATCAAAGTCACATGCTTCAAAGTCAAGCCTTTGCAAGATCACAGTGTTTGCTGTGCACAGAACATACCCTTCCTGACTGGTGTGCTCTGCATTAGGACGTTCTCCGTAGAAGCCATTATTACCTTGCTTAACACCACTTCCTCCCATCATTTAGTATTTTGGTGATGTCTTATTCTGCTTATTATTTTTAAGCTCTATCCTGAGTTAAAGACCTAAAAATTCTCAGAAAAACAATCAAGTTCTCCAAATAAAAATATTTTTTAAAGATTGTCAAAATACAAAAATGTGCTTAGAATTAATGAAATTTAGAAAACAAAGCTCATCAATCAATGTATCATTGTCAGATCTTAGACAGCTAAAATGTGCTGCATTATGGTAAAATAGATGACCGTAATATTAGCTATTACCTAACATTGCTAATCTCCATATCTCATTTGCAGAGATGATAGAATATGAGATGTTTTGGGGCAGACCACATAGGTAGGCAGGTGACACTGACTCCCTCACTCATGCCCTGCTGACTATATCCACTAACCTTCTGCTTGAAACATTGTTATTGGTCATGCATTTAAGTTCTCAGCTTATGTTACCGATGTAACAGGTATGTCAATGTTGACAGCTCTTACAATTCTA